GGCACATCACTACTTTTTACCAAGCCTATCGTGGGTGGACGGTCGGATGGCCGAGCGGTCAAGGTGGCAGCCTACCGCTCTGGGAAACTCGGGATCGAATCCGAACGGGTCAAGGAATCCTCAGGAATTTTTCGGGGGGTGGTCTGTTCGGATATGTCGGGCCCCGTCCCTCACCACCCGACCGCCTCATTGTGGGCCTAGCCACAATGGGTCGGTCGTTCTTTTAGCAAGCCATAATGGGAATGGGCTTGCTAAAAGAGGTCCTCTTAGTGCCTACAGGACAGAAAGAGCAAAAACATAAAAGAAAATAAAATGCCCATCATAGGTTCGGCCACAATGGGAAAGTCGGATGGTAAGGAATAGACTTGACATAACCGTTAATGATTACCCAAGAAAAACTTTTGGGGTGCTCGTTCAAATTCGATCCCGAGTCCTCTAGAGTGGTAGGCTGTCGCTCTATTCGCCTCGATTATCCGGCTATTCTAGATTAAAAAAAAAAAAAAAACTTTTATCTAGAACATTTTTCGAGATATAAACTTATTGAACTTATTGAAAGTTATTGAAATTATGGATATTTGAAAGTTTCGTTCTGTAAATTTCATTGAAGAAAGGAAGAAAATGCTTTAAAAATCATTAGGAAATTATTATTATTATTTCGTGGAATCAAGATAAACGTCTTCTCTTTATCACAGGCATAGCGATTTTAATATGTTGTGGCCAACGAGATAGAACGTTGGTTGTGGTACTAGTTTTGTATGAGTTCATTAATATTTAAGAAAATGTTGAAAATAATACTTATCTATAAACTTATAAAATAATGATAAAAATAATATTTTACATAAGAGAGTAATTTATAAATATTAAATTCTAATTATTGAATATTAATAAAATCTGATTTCATTATTCGATCTCTATTAATATCATTGCGATATTTTGTCATACTGCCATTTCCGATTCTATTGCAGTAAAATTCGTCCGAAAGAACATATAGTCCATAATTTGTGTTAAATAACTCTAAGAAAGGTATGTTATTTATTTATTTTTATAGCTATTTATTGATATTCATGAATAATTAATGTATTAAACTTAAGAAAATTTCAATAAATTGGTCATTATCAATTTTAAAGCATACTTTAATGATTTGCGGAACGATACTCGTTCCTTTTATTGTGCCGGTTCTGTAGGGTCTGTGGCGTTGTTACAGCGTTCGTCGACATTAATCAGATTTTTGGAAATTTTCAGTAAAATTCTATCACTAGAATCATTTTACTAATTCCTAATGGCAGATAAAAGAAAGTGAGTGTAGTTTTTGTTTGATCTGACTCTTATTTTATACTTATTTTAAAGGTTTTTTTCAGTTAGGCTTAATCATTCATTACGGATGTAATGATCTGGCATTGTTAAGTTGTGATTGGCTGATTTGTGACACGTGGACAATTTCTTTTTTCTGAATATGTTCTGTTTCGTTATTGTTCTTTGATAGGATTGAGTGAAGATTTAAAAATTTGTTTCGTTTTGTGAGATTCTGAACTAATTAAAAAGTAAATTTTTCAGTTTTTTGTCATAATACAGCATATTATCATATATAAAATTATATAAGATGTAAAATCTTTTGTCCCGTAAAGTTTAATTTTTGTCCCTATGTTCATAATTTTAATATAATCCGAAAATTATTCTAATTATAACAGCCCAAATAATTAAATTATTTGGGCTCTTATAATTAGTAAGCAATCATCTATCAAAGTTGAATAACAACTACACTAAATTGTGTCATGGTATTGAAGCACCACTTGATTATAGTAGTTGATGACCATAATTATACATCTAGCTGAAAAGAATGCTGTTTTGAATTCATTTTATGAGTAATAAGGTATTTTAATTATGTATGGTAACTTGGTATAATATATTCAAATAAAAAAAAAATGCTTTTATTTTTTTAATATTTAGGTTATTGTCCTAGTCCACAGCTTTCTTAACAGATAGACTAAACCACATCAATTCACCAAACCACTAAATTTTTTCTGAGCATAAACCTTTTTATTTTATTAACGTTTTTAACCTATTTTTTATATAGGCCATCCTCACATTTTATAATACAATATAAATGTTCCAAAATGGAATGTACCTTTTTTGAATTTATAACATTTTTTTCCCCCAAAAAAATGTTATTACCTTAATTTGAAAAAGGTACAGTCCATTTTGGAACATTTATATTGTATTATAAAATGTGAGGATGGCCTATATAAAAAATAGGTTAAAAACGTTAATAAAATAAAAAGGTTTATGCTCAGAAAAAATTTAGGTGGTTTGGTGAATTGATATGATTCAGGTTACAACACATCATTAATCATTGATTTCACAATTGCTAATATTAATGACTTAAGTTTCTAAAATAATAATATAACAATTGAAACTTGTAATTTTGTCATTGTTTAACAGGATTGCTCAAGATTGTTGTAATGTGCTTTCCTCAGAGATAAGGCTTGTATTTTACTCAGCTTTAGGCTTGCTAACTCTTGAAGAGTTGATTTCAGGAATTTTCTGTTCCAGAAGTAAAAAGTTTTTGATATTTTTTTTTACTTGAAAATATCAAAAATTCTGCTGTCTATTCTTTAATCAGTTTTAATATATAGCCCAAAAGTTGATTGTCTTGTTGAGTAAATATGGAAAGAATAGGTCTCATTTTAGGAGTCTTAAGAATTTAAAAATTTTTGCCAAATTTCAAGATTGCCAAATTACTATTCCATATTTGGCAACAGTGTTGGCAGATATGGGATAGTAGACAACTTACTCTGCTTTGTTGTAGACCAGTATTTGCATGCAAACATATGATATGGTAAGGGTTGGGTTATAAATGCCATACTATAACCATATCTGTAATTGTATCCATTTGAAACCATCTGTACTGTATTCCATAAGAAAAGTTTTATCAAACTTTTATGGTATGGATATGGAGATTTGTCAAACTAAGCAAGCACCAAGCTACCATTAGTTGATGCAATAAGAAGTCTGAAGCCAACTGATAAAAAATAACAGATTAAGTCAAAAGTAACTTTTGATTGACTCATGTTATTTCTGGACAATATAAAATTTAAAGTAAGAATTACTTTGGTTCCAAAAAAAATAAATGAATAAACAATTGTAGTGATAGATCTGGCAATATCAGCTGGTGATATTTTCTCTGATTTACATCAAGAGTGCACTACATATAGCAGATTACTTTGTACACCATAAAAAAATTTAATTCTTAATGATATGGTTACAGTACAGAGTCTATAACCCAGTTCTAAGTGGTATTCAGGTATTCACATTACTGTTTTATAATGTTACTTGTTCAGTAAAAGAATGGCTTATTCAGAACCTAATTTGTTCTCATTGAAGCTGCTTGTCAACATAACTTTGATTTTTCAAAGTATAATGTGGCACAATGTGGTCTTATTTGGTATTGAAAGTAGAATGATTTCCCACTAATTGTCGTCTTTAGTTAGATCACCTTTCTTTAGATGTTTGATTTGTAAATTGTCCACTCTGCTGCATGTAAAAAAATTTCTTTCTTCCAATTGTTGAGCATTGATAGAAGTATATTTGCTGTGACACAGGGATCTGCTGTCAGCACTTCAAGCACACAGATTAATGTGCTTGAAGTTTTTTGCTTGTTTTGTGTCAGTGGGTACGTTCGTAAAGCCAAACGAGTTAGTAACGAATCGTTCTAAAAGTAGTTGTCTCACTCAGTGCGCATGCTCTGTGGTGATGACATTACGAACGAAACTCTAATGAAGTTCACGAAGGAAAGAGTTAGTTCACTTCGTTAAGAAAATGGCGGCCGGCGATATCGATGGTTCTAAATCTACTCGAGTGTTTAAACTGTGAATTAGAAGGTGAAATGATAGAAATAACCGTCCACCCGAAGCAATCTAAGAAAAATATTTTGGATAAGGCTGCACTAGCAGCATTCATATCTTCAATTTTAGAAACAGCCATTTAGTTATAAACGAATCATTTTAAAAGTCTAACGAAATAAGAATAACGATGACGTTAATCTCGTTTAACTCGTTCGACTTTACAAACATGACCAGTGTTACATCTTTGCTTGTACGTTACAATATAGCTGTTGACATAAGTTCTTCAGTTACAATATGGAGTTGCATTTAGTGTGTGTATCTTACATTATATCTAGGACTTTTCCATTCAGACTTTTGTTACACTGTTTTTACTGCCAACATGTTTTCTTGTCGTTTTGAGTATCTAATAATGTGTTCCACTTTCTTCTGATTGAAAAATGATCTCTCTGAATTTTGGCACCATTATCAAAGGTATATCAATCTGTTGGTTAGGAGAGGTCCATTTTGCCTTTCAGACAGTCCTAATGTGGAAATATTGTGCATCTTGCTTAATTCTAGTGACCTTTCTCTATTGTTTTGACGTCATATTCCTTGTCTATCCATTGCTTGTTCCAGACTAGTGTTATCATTGCTTGTCTTAGTATTCGGTTTCTACTATGATGTCTCTTTTTCTCACCTTTTAAGTGTTATTATAGTTCACTGTTTTCCCATCCTTGGAAAGTCTCAGCTTGTAAACCTGGACAATGGTGGAATGCCTCTTTATGATGATATTCAAATCCCATTTCAGAATGCATCATTACAATGAAGTTCACTGTAATGATGCATTCTGAAATTATCATTTACAAGCTCTTCCATATACTCAAATCTATTTTAGTGAATAGTTTGCTTACAACCTCTTCTGGAATTAACTGGGAGAATTACATTATCATAGTCTAAATTATTCTTGAAATCTGTGTGAACACTATCTTTACCTCTATTCTTGCTATTTCCAATTAACTTAATTGGAATGTCTTATCTGTATTAACTATCATTGTATAAATGTAATATAAGACAACAGCTATTATCTCTCTTACAGTTAGGATTTTCCATGTCATGATACATCTTCAGCCTTGTATTATTTTTATTAGAGGCCTAAACAGTACTAAATATCTTGCAGTAATCTGACAGTATTGCTCATCACCGTGCAGGGTGTCTCATGCCTAGTGTCACATCATGAGTAGTAACACAATCAGTGGTGATATTCGAAATATTTAACAAAGGGTTCGCTAACAGAAACTTTTTCCTTAACCTAACCCCAAGCCCGAGATATCTCGGGCAAGTTACATAGCGTTACATAAAACTCGGGCGTTTGGTCCCCCTAAAAGTTTTGTTTTTTTGGCTTTTTGGAATGTTTTTTAAGTCTCCAAATTTTTTCAATAATTTTTTCCCGCGCGAAAAAATGTTATCGCGATTTTAATTTACCTTTAATGACGCACGATTCACACTTAATTGCTTTTTAATTGTTTTTTAATGGGAGTTTGATATCAAATTTCATTCATCGTTCTAAAGTTGTAGCGCATGGATTTTACTTCGGTAAAGTTATTTAAAGCTAGTTTCTGATGTCAAAAACGACCTCCTATNTAACATTTTAAAAAATATGTTTTATTATGTAAATGTTTAAATAAATTAGAAAGCTAATTTAAGGTGCATTTGTTTTCTTTTGGCTAAAAAGTTATAAAGTATGAAATATATTTGAAAATATATTTAACAACTTATTACATTGAGACTGTATTAATTATATAATAAAATATAAAATAAAAGTGTAAATTTGATATTTAAAGACCTGAATAGAATATAACTTCATATTTTTGTACAGCTATTATTTTTGTTTTTAGCTTTTTCTGTCTTGTAAGCACTAAAGAAAATCTTTTTACCAGATCCATCATGGATTGGCTAGGCTCATGATGAGGAGCAACAGGATGAGAGATAGAACCCAACATATCTAAGACAGATCACTCATGAAAAATTCCAATAGTTCACACTCCGATTCCATTTCAGGTCTTTCAGACTATAGGAGATCTTTAATGTCGCGACTGGCAGTTCCTCTGTACTTTAATACTAGGGATATTAGGGGATAATAGGGATATATAAAAGAAACATTCAAAAATTTCTCTTAAGTCTTAATCAATATGGCTTTTAAAATATTTATTTCGTATAATTTAATATTATAGTTTACATTTTTAATTCATTTTGACTCATGTTTATAAATTGTATATTTTATCAAGTATCATCCATAAAATCGATAATCAATGAAATTTCAATATATCCCTTAATTAAGTTCTTACATCATTGTTGAATTTAATTCGCGATGAAAATATAGGTATAGACGATGGTTTTTTTCTAATTGTATGTATTGTATATATTTATAATAAGTACTCCGATGAAAAAAAAATAAATCAGACGGAGGTTTGGATT